TTAACTTTTGAGATCCATTTGAATATTTTATTTTAACTGTATTATTATTATTATAAGTAATTGATTCAATATTCTTTTTTTAATATTATAATTATTTATACTTAGTGATGAATATATAAAACCGCTAAACGCGTCGACTTTTGATTTTCTGCCATAACATGTTACGGCAGTCAGAGTGACGAGGGTCAAGACAATTTGGAAACAGACGTGAGACGCGTCTACTAAATCGAATCTATCTATATAAGTACTATATTAAAATATACAATTTGTTTGATTAAAATTCTAAAATATAAAAAAAAGATTCCGACGAATTGAGAACCTCCTCCTTTTTGGAAGTCCGTTAAAAATCAATGATATACCTATTTATATGAAATCAAAAATAATAATAATAAATTTAATAGGAGTTTAAATTAGTTATAAACAGTAGTTGATATGAATATTAATATATCGATTTTTTCTTTTTTTTTAACTACTAATTTAACTTAACTACTGATTAAAAGTTATTGTGAATTATTTAAAAGAGATAGACACATGCTATCTAATCTGCTTTTTAATACTTACACTTTTCAAGTACACTGTTTTGATGTACATATATCTTAATGTTTAGCCAGAGTTAGTTATAAAAGAGAACGAAAACAGTTTTTTCCCTTGAAAATGAGAGACTTTTTCGCGCAAAACTATTAAATACTAACGGCTCACCCTCGCTTCTCTCCGGTTCGCCTCTAGTAAAACAAACACAAACCTATCCCACGGGAACCGGACCTTTTTCCAGAATAAAAAGTAGCCTATGTGTTATTCTAGACTACAATCTATCTCTGTGCCAAATTACATCCAGATCCGTTCAGCCGTTCAACAACAAGCTGTTCCGTTTTCAGTTTTCTCATGGAAATGAGAGATTTTTCTGTAGTAAAAAGTACCACCACCAAAGGTAAATATTGACCCGACTAACAATTTATTATTAGGTGCACAAAATATAGTTAAAATTCGTTCAGCACCTTTTGCGTGAAATGCAAACATATAAATAGACATAGACAGAGAAATAGACAAAAAATTCAACAACTATTGCTTTAGGATCTATCTAATATTCTATAGGTACTATTGTTTGTTTACACAATACGTAAGAGTCATTGCTTTTAAATAATATTTCATAAACAGATTTCGCTTTGTTATGTTATTATATGCATAGACTAAGATATGCGTATGTTTCTAATATTATATTTGGGTTAGACGGTAGAGGAGTTGCTAAACTTGATACGTATTTTAGTTAAATATAAATACATAGTTCGAACGGTTTCGTGACCGCAACTGCCATTTCTCATAATACGAAACATTTAACGTTTACGAACACTTAGTGTGTCACACGTCCTTAAGGAAACTAATAAAGGTTGATTGAAAATACCGATCCTCTATTTTAACTGAAACATTACATTAATATGAATACGAAAGTAATTTATGAAATATATTTTCATTTATACTCTCCAGCTTACTTTCCTGACAAATTAGGGCATGATTAACTAATAAACAATTACCTAAATAAAAGTAATAAGTTAGAAAATATTTCTCTGTGTAATCAGTAATGTAAATAAAGCTCAGAAAAAATTGAATTTAACGAATTTTAGGAAACAAAGTTCTGATATATTTAACTTTATCAATAGTAGCTCGAAGCAAAGCGACAATTCGCGTTATTCACGGCCACTATTCAAGACGCATGTCCTCAACTGCAGAAGAAAGAAGAAATTAAAAATAATATTACGTATCTGGGGGCACGGTAGTGCCTTCGCCAAGACGAGCGAAGCGCAAGGGAATAGAAACCTACATTTTCTCGAAGCGCTTCATCGTTATTTAAACCATCATAACTTGGGTTTGGATTATACCAGATAAATAAAATTTTCGGGATATGATGTCAATAGTGGACTTTTGAAACATATAAAGTTTAAATTGCATAACTCTTATATTTTAGATTTTATTGATATCTAAAATCTCCGATTTCGTCACTGACTCACTGATGATCATCAAAATTATTAGGGTACTTTCTGAAGTCCTAGAAAGCTGAAATTTGGAGAAAGGTAGTATTAGTTCGTTACTACAAGAACTGTTGTATAACAGAAAAGTAATGAACAGTGAATAAATTTTTCATCTTACGCCCGTGTGGTGATAGCGAAACGGCCAAGCCACATATTTTGACTAAGGTGTAGAGTTTGTGAAATTAGAGCGTGTAGAGTTAAAAGCTTGGCTCTACATGAGATCTGATAAATTTTTGACAGTGCGAGTCATATGGTCTCGTCTTGGCCACATTTTACATGAAAATGTTTTTGGTAGGATATCTATTGATTCTGCAAGGAAAAGAAAAATAATTAAGAAACAAAATACACCTTGTCTTGGGAATTTAAAATGTATGCAGATAAAACAAGATAATAATGATGCCTTTAAATTCAGAAGAGAGAAAAATATTTAAAATACTTATACTGAGAAAAGAGAGTTTTATATTGTATCTTGTGAGCTAAGTGGAGCAAATATTTCTCAATTCGCATAATTTATCGTAAACGTCTCCTTCAAGATAAAGGCTTAATTTCTGGTAATTAAAGAAGCATTTTAATAAAATACTAATTCAACAAGGAAGAAATATATTTTTAAATTACATTAGTACTTATATAATTATAAAATTGTACTAAATAGAACTGTTATTTTTAGGGAAAAGAAAAATGTGTGAAGATTTGATACTTTTTATACTATTATTAATTAGGAAACTACTATTTCGTAGGTATTTACGATGTAGTTTTGGTTTTGCATGTTTATTTCACATCTAGATGCTTAGAAATGAGAAATCCGTTTTATAGGCAGGAAGCTTCATAGTATAAGAATATACCTGAAGTTCAAATTATTTAAACGAAACTTAAAGTTCCGAATGCAAAAAATGAATTTAGCATTTTTATACAAACAACAATCTTTTAAACATATTTTTTTATTATAAACTTCGCCCCTTTACATTATATGTATAAAGGTTGTAGCTATTCGTACTTTAATAGGACGAATAATAAATAAAAAAAGGAAGTTGCTATTCGTACGATAATAATCCGATGATCAAAAATATAATATTCGTCCGACTATTGTAAGTTTGTACGAATATTTACCACTCTTTTTATGTTTTCCAACGTCAAATAAGAGATTTTTAGGTGCAGGAGTTTCTATATGCATAAAAAAAAACTGAGCTGGAAAATTACTCTTTTAAATCCCAACACCTTAATAACCTTAACCACCAAAAATAACCTTAACCTACCGAGCTGAGCCGAGCTACTTATTCTACTTATTGATTAGTCTATTCGTCTTTCCTTATCCATACTAATATTATAAATGTGAAAGTGTGTTTGTTTGTTTTTCTTTCTTTCACGTCAAAACAACTTAGCGGATTGGCGTAATTTTTCGTGTGGAGAGTAGATGGAGGGCTGGAGAGTGGGTACTTTTAGAGGCTACTTTTTACCGCGGGAGATTATCTCTTTCCCACGGGAAAAATAATTTTTATAGCCGTATGACTAATTAAATACTTATTAATATAAACTCGAATGAACTAAGAATAATAAGCATAAGGGAGAAAAATCTAACAAAAATATGTAAATGAAGAATTGAAACCAAAGACTGGTAAAAGCAAAAAAAAATCAATATTTATCATTCTGCAGTCGGCATTTTGTGACCGCAGTCTACATAGATAATAAATTCCTTGTCTCCAGTAGGTAAATCTATGGTATTTATAGGTACATAAATACCTAATGAGATGGTTCGACTGACTGACTTCAACGCATGCTCAACCCACTGAAGCTAGAAAGCTATTTGATTTTATTATGTAACGTAAGCACTCTAAGAAAAATTCTTTCAAATGTCTACCACTAAGAGGGTGAAGTAAGGTGTTAGAATTTTGTGTCCATATTATTTAAAAGAAATTAAAAACAATTAAAAACACATTTGTTATTTTCCAATTATTATTCCTTAAGGCGCATTAAATTAATATAGAAGTTTGTATTGTAAAATTTTGTTGCTCGAATGTATAGATTTCTTCGGAACTTAGTATAATATATAACTTTTTATATTCTTCAGAGCAAGTAATAAAATACGTGAATATAGAATAAACACGATATAAATTCATAAACTTTTGCATTTAAAATAACAGTGTGATTACGTAAAGTTCAAAGTCTACGTAAAGCGATTAGTTTCAGGTTTTTAAATAAGAAAAGCAATAATTTTAAGAAATATGACGTTGAATAGCTTTTGTTATATTATGCTATTTCTTCGGGAAAACAATAACTGTTTCTATCGAGTCGTTCTTAGAAAACATGTCTAACGCTGGCTAAACCTAAGAGACACATCAAATCAATGTCTTATTAAGGCCTACAGAAAAAAATGTAATAGCATAAGTCTTTCTCCTAAGATACACTGGCAATAACTATTCATATCTATTTAAAATGTACCTAGAGACACACCCGATCAAAGCGAGGCTAAATCACTAATAAAAAATTAAATGAATATGTCAACTAAATACAATCTACATATGTAGTTAAAGTAGTGATTCTACAATCGTTGAAGAATAGAAATTCAAAAAATTTTGGCAGGACAATAATCAATAGGGGGAAGTCCCCTAGTGGCGGACACCTAAGGTTTTCAGAAAATAAAACAAAAACTACTACAAATTTAACTTTATTTATGAATTATTTAAGTCAACAAAATATAAAATCAAAATAAATCAACTAAAATATAATTTCTGCATAAACATATTTAGAAACTTTCAATAAGTTTTGGTAACACACAACGCAATCTTTGACATTGGCACCTAGTACCGGACGGACTTAGCTTCGAGCCCTGAGTGTGTGACATTATCAAAACATCATGCATTGATCACATATATAGGCATCTTTGCACATTCAGGAATGTCTGCACATGCTTCATGAGAAAACTCTAGGCAGCTGGAGCATTTTTTTCAGTCTTCACAATGGTCCTCTAAGCATACTTTAGACATTTACTTTTAGATATACTTTAGCATTGGTAAATTTTCTATCAGGGTCTGTTGATTCTTCTGATACAAAATTAGTGGAGAGTTCTGCATTGCAAGATGTAAATGAGCTACCAAATGATGGAGGATCTTTATAGCTTCCGCTAAATCTAATTCTAACTTTAGACACTCCTTTTTCATCGTTGAATTGGACCAATTTTTTGCGTGGTCTACTAAAACTTGCTCATATTCTAGTGAAAATGTAATAGTGAATCCACCGATTATTGGTAGTATTAGTAACGTGCTTTTTTGGACATGCAGCGCGTTGAAGCTTCCCTTAAACTCATTTCTTTGTTCAAAAGCTTATCTATTGCAGTTTGTAAACTTTATTGGTCCCATTTTCCTTTTTTTTATTCGCCCCCATTTCTACATATGCTGGTTTTGCTATCCCCTAAAACAACGTACAATAATTATTATATTAACTATAAATATTAAGTAAAAAAATTACTTATGAACTGTCCCGTCTTAAGGGACATCTTCGTGTCCGGTACTAGGGGACAAGAAATCCCCCAAAATTACGTGTTTCATACTAAAACTGTAGAAAACTAATAAAAAAATTTAAAAGCCTTTTAATTACAATGGAACATTATCTTTATTAACAACTAACATGAACATTTAAAAACAAAACCAAAGCAGTAATACTCACTTGAAATTTATGTGATGCAGCGCTTTCCCGCCAAAAACCAGCAATCTTCCACTCTCGCCGTGGCTGTTCCCGTCACTACCAAATTGCGTGCCATGACCATTTGTCGCTACGTCCTCTCGCACGTCCTTCATCGATTTCTAAATAGATCACGTTATTACTTTTCGAGATAATGCGAGTGTCCGGCACTAGGTGCCGTCCGGCGTTATGGGACTTCCCCCTATATCATTTCATCATAGAATCATAATATGTCATCACAATATATTTTTTAGATGTCTATTATTAAACGACTAGCAAATAACCCTTGCTCCGCTCGGGTTCGTCCCTGCTTATCGTTTAGTATAGATTTCTCATAGATGAGATATTTTCCCGAAGAGAAATATGTAAAAGAATAATCTTTCAAACAGGTACAAACCCGTAATCTGTGTTCGGGCGCAAAACGTAAAATATTATAATTTAAAAGAGTTAAAGCAAACGAAAAAATGTTAACACTTTAATATTAGTCTGTAAAAATTTCGGCTTTGTAAGCGTAAAGGTATTACTTTTATAATATATTCTGTAAACATGCCACACACAGTAGCGTACGCTCTACAAAATGAGTGCTTATCGGGAAACTTGAATATAAAATGCCAATACCTTCCAAAGCTAAGTCGAACGTCGAGTCGACGAATTTTTCGTTTATGTCTGCACATAATCGAAATAAGAATTTTCGATTTTTTTATGGATCAAAGATCAAAACGAAGTTTTACAATTTAAATTGTAAAAACTATTTTATGCATGTTATTCTTAGAGGTGAGATGAGAAATAATCAATATCTTTTTCGGGCGCTTGCCTTCCATAAGATTTCGTCGAGCTAGACGCGTCATCTTGTGTTCCCAGAAACATTCGTAAAATTGTCCAGCATGCAAAGTCCTGTTCCTGTAGCGGGTTCTGTGGCTGAACCAGCGGCATCCGTGTGTAGCCACCCTAATATTTCTTAACATCATTCCATATGGATTTCTAGGTATTTCGCGTCAATAAAGTCATCTAGACTTTTAAAATATGGATTTATATTTTTTATGCAAAACGCATACCCAAAGTAAAAAAGTACAAAAAAAAAGTCAAGCCTTTCTATATAATATGATCTTCTGGATCATGGATCAGTCAACGATTAACGAGACTACGAGGTAGGTCCAACCGATACCTTAGCGTCAGCGCGCCAAATACTTAGGAGTCACGTTAGACAGTAGGATAACATTCAGACAATTCATTCAGATAGTCAGAAACAGAGCAGCAGTCATACTAGACAGACTTGACCAATGAAAGGCAAAGGTATTAAATTGTCCCTTAGAAATAAGATAACAATTTACAAACTTTGCATAGGGCAATCATGACATACGCATCAATAGTGCTTGCACAAACAAGACCATCACACTTAAACAAAATTAAAATTACAAAAAATACAAAACAGATTTACACGCATTGCCACAGGCAGTCCTTGGTACATGCGTACAGTAGATTTACATAAAGACCTTTAGCTAGAGTCCAACTTTCACCAAGTTGTGTATATTATACCTATTCGACATACAAAGTGAAGGCCTATAAAGAAAGTTGATATCATCTTGTTATAAGACTGTTTAAAATTATTATATATTTTTAGAACAACGGAACAAACGAGATTGGTTCTATTATATACAATATTTTATAAATTAGTTGCAATGCTCTTAGAGCTCTGCGGTCAGAGTGGAAATGGGAGCACACAATCAGTTAGTTTCTAGTCGACTGAACTTGGCGCGACGATGCGTGCCTTACAAACTGATGCTGTGCGGCTGTTTGATACAAATGGACAAGGAGATTAATATATATAAAAATATATATTTAAATTAATTACTTATTAGTTATTTAAAACCTCTTCGTATAATTTCTATATTGCAAACTCATTAATTAATTATCCTAATAGGTGATTTTAGAGTAACTTCTTGACAAATTACACTCTCATCAAAATTGTTAAGACCACACCACACCACAGTCTGTTTCAGTTAAAGTTCTTAAAATTTTCTTTACACTTTTTGAAATATTATGTGTTATACAATAATATTTTAGCCGCTATTATTTATACTCTTGGTTTAAATTTTGGAAAATCCAGTTTTAAAAAAATGTATTTACTTCATTAGTTATGTCGAAGCTAAGTTTTAAGTTAACTTGGCCAGATAAATATGGCTTTCTATATAAAACAGCGTCTTTAAATTTCCGACTTGAAACTTGATATTTCAAAGATATCTAGTACAAAATTATTTTAGTGGTGAGTTGCCTATGTCAATATACATAGGTAATAGTAGGACTACATGGTACACCTAATGGTATGGTATGGTAAATGCGGTTATGGTATGGCTTGTTTCCGCAACTCGACGTCTGTGCGCCTATTTTGCGTGTGTGGTAAATTATTCACTCGTGTTACTCTCTCTCTCTCTCTCTCTCTCTCTCTCTCTCTCTCTCTCTCTCTCTCTCTCTCTCTCTCGCCAACCTAGTTCCTCCAGGAATTGCAGCAGTCTCTTCATCTTGCTGAAAACCTTCGGGAGCGTACTAGGGCTGCTAAGGTGTTGAGCCCGGTTCGCCGCTACACCTGGACAATACAAGATTACATGTGCAGCCATTTCATCTATCCTCATGCAGGCCCTGCAAAATGGGCTGTTATTTATACCTATATTAAATAGATGTTTATTATATGGTCTGTGGCCATTTAGGGCCGTGGTTATCTGCCTGACTTGAGGTCTGTTGAGATTGATAAGACGGTTTGTCGATAAGCAATAAGCGATGGTATGCCTAACTAAAATAATTACAAATTAAGGTGTGAAGTAGGCAATACACACGCGTTTAAAGTTATGCTGGTAAGTTACGCATTAATATCAATACGGCGAGTTGCTATGGTGTGTCAGAACGGCTAATCTGAATATTAAATAATAAGTGTCAAATATTATTTTATTAAATATTGTTTAAGTTACGAATTTATAAAACTCAACAAAAAGCATTAATTTTTCATTATTCTTCATTTACCAAGACAGTGAAAGTTTGAGTTTTATGATGCATAATAACAAACACTAGAGCAGCGATGGTATCATCAATTAACGCGTTAAACCCCTTTGATATATAAGCCAGCCAAAGCCGCCAACCCAACAATCACTTATCACCTAACGGCATTATAAACGTCATTGCAAAATTACCTACACGTTAAATTATAGCAACACTACACTGAACATTTATTAATGCGATAACTTATTTCATTAAGCCTTAATGTGGTCCTAATATGTACAGGTACATGTATACATATATTAAAATTGTAACTAAGTCGAATCTGTATATTAAATATTTTTTGGAAAATCTTATTGCAATAGACATTATTAATTATTATCGATACAGAGGCCGAATCTATAGTTTTTAGAGTTTTTGTCTGTCTGTCTGTTACCGCATCGCGGAAAACCCACTGAAGGGATTTTGATGAAATTTGGTATGATGGTAGCTGGATATCCGAGTCGACATATAGGATAATCTTGCTATATTTTTTATTTAATTTGAAAATCTCATCTTAATATAATAGGAAACGGGTGTCATTTACGGAAACAGGCAAGCTTCCGAGCTTAGTCACGATACCGGATGCTAGCGTCCCGTTCTCTAATTCGCACTTAATACCGGTATTTATATTATACTAGCGATTCACCCTCGCTCCGCTCGGGTTCGTCCTTAGATACGTTTTAAGGGTTAGTATAGAATATAGATACTTATTTTAGAGATGAGATTTTTCCCTCAGTAAAAAGCATCCTATATGTTCACCCTGATAACCAGTTATCATCATACCAAATATCATCAAAATCTGTCCTGTGGTTTCCCTGGATGCTTTCCAGACAGACAGACAAATAGACAAAAATTTTAAAAACTTTAGATTCAGCCTCTGTATTGATAATAATGACTATTTCATTTCCAAAAATTATTTAAGGTACAGGTGGTATGTGTAAATGCATTTCCCAGCGTCCTTTTTTTTAATGCTAGTGACCTTCTTAAAAACCGATGTCGATCGATCTGTAATGTCATCTATCTATAAAACTCATCTCATCATCAAAACCATCTATCAACAAAAATTCCAAAACTTAAAAATGGCTGGATCGGTTTAAATAATTCTTTTTTTGTTTTGTTGAAGGTGTATCAGGCGTGGTTTAAGTATAAAAAATCGAGAAACCCTATAAGAACAACTGGAAAATAAAAAAGTTAAGAACTGTTTATTTTGTATGGGAATCGCTTCTTCGGATTACTTTCAATAGTGGCGGACCTACCATCTACAACAATGCGTCAAGTTTAAGTAGGAAACAATTAATATGTAAATTGTTATCTATTCCATACTAACCGTTAAAACGTACCTAGGGATGAACCTGAGCAAAACGCGGGTGAGCCGCTAGTACCGTATATATTTTGATGAATATTCTAATAACTATTGGCGGTTGGGATAGTGAATTCAATCACTTTTAAGGTTCTATTGATTTTTGAAATGGTTAAATATGTATTTATTCACTTATAACTTTTAAGTTTTAATTATGACCATAGTATATTATTGGAAGTAAGCTGTTTAAAATGTGCATCAAAATAAATCATATGTGGCATATTTTAATATTTAATACTAATTTCGCTCGGCATTTTTCGAAAATAGCGTTTTTGCACAGAAGAGACGCCTATATAACAAGCAAAACCTTATCTAAATATAAAATTTGATTCAAATCGTTAGTGCCGCTTCTGAGATATACGAAATAAATTTATATTATACTACCCATTTTACCCTCTTAATACAAAATTCCATCCCCATTTTCACCCCTTTAAGGGATGATTTCCGGGATAAAGAGTATCTTATGTCCTTCCCAGGATCTCAAACTATCTTCTTACTAAATTTCATCTAAATCGGTTCAGTAGATCCAGAGATTACCCCCTACAACGTCACAAACTCACAAACTTTATCCCTTTATAATACGAGTATTAGTATAGATATACAAGTATTGCCCATTTAATATTATAACAAGAATGTTTAATTTAATTTAATATTATAACATAATATTATTATGCATAACTTATGTACAATATGATTCTTATAGTAGGTACCTATTTCATAAAATAT